TTATTTGAGACGCTCTTTTTCTCCATACATGCTGGAGTTAAGATCAACTTGAACACTTAGAGCTTCAGGGCATCTTCAGGTGTCCAAGTAAATCGCAGTAGATTCAAATCAGGCCTCTGAAGTTGGTACCATCTGTATCGGCTTCCTGGACTCTCTTGCAGAAGCTGTTGCCCCTGAGCTAGGAACAGGGAACAGCTTGTGATGGACTGCCTGAAGTTCCCCAGTTATCAGCTAGTTTTACTGAGGTAAATCAGCCCCAGCAGGGACCGGATCCATCTGCTGTTCTGTGTGCAATCAGAGACTTCAGTGAGAGGTCTCAGCTGCATCCAAACAGGAGAGCTTGTAAGCAAGACCTCTTTTTACAGCAAAGTTGTTTTAGCTGATGGCACACAGTAGTTGTTGGGTTTAATAGTCACATTTAGACCACATTCAGGGAATTCTGCAAAGCCTGGAAACGAAAGGATGCTCTTTCATTTTTATGAATGATTGTTTTAATAATGGAAGGCATGCAGTTACTGACACTAATTTAAATACATAAATAAATTATAAGGGCATTAAAGGATCATTAATCATAGAGTTAACAGCAGTCTTAATGTAGATGCATTTGTTGTTTTCCACATGTAGAGCAAATGCATCCCATGTTGCTTAGGTTCTTTCCGGCCTATGCGGAACTCACAGGAATGAACCGTTTTCCAGCCATGGGTGTCCTGGATATTTCTGTGATGGTATTTGGGTTCTCTCACTGCCATTTCCTTCCATCAGGCATATGCCTAGGGCCTGAGGGACAAACAGTGGTGCGATAAATATCCTTTGAAATGCAGGTTGGACCTCCCTGGTTTCAATTTAAAAAAACAAACAAACAAACAAAACCCCAAAAACCCACCCACCCCCAAAATCCCAAACAAACAACAAACCAAACCCTAAGCATTTCTGTTTGCTTTTTCATTTGTTAACCACAGCGCATCAATTTTCCTCAAAACTGTAGCATATTTTCCAAATGCTGTGGCTCTTCTACAGTTTCAGGCTTCTAAATCATCTGTATATTGTTCTGTCATGTATCTGGGTGGTCTGGATAACTTTGGGATATTGTTTTCACAGACTGCAGCTATAATTGTATGTCAAATCCTTTCTTGTTTCTTGGTATGTTAAACACATCAATGAGCTTATTGCCCCTTTGCAGCTACTGCAAACACTGATTTCCTTTGTACTGTACTTGTTTTGATTTGCTGGCTGTATCGTAGCAAGCCAAAAGATACACGATAAGAAGGTACTTCAGCTTCCCATAGACCTTTTTGTGTTGTAGAAATACTTAAAAGGTGCAGTACCTAGCTAAAGATGACTCTTCCTCGTGATTCACGTTCTGTGAAGAAACAAGCAACTAAAAGAGCTCCATTTGTCCTGGCACTCCTATTTCACAGGTGAATGTAGCTGGAATAAAATTTCCAAGGTTGACATCAGTACTGTATTCCTTTACTGCAGGAGAAGTAACATCCCTCAGGTAGCACAATTTAAACATAGTGAGGGCAGGCACTCCAGCTCGCCACTGTGTCCCGTGGCTGAGGTCAGCTGTGGATGGGCAGGATAAGATTTTGTGACACTTATGTTGTGGGAAAAGTGAAGAAACTTCCTTTTATTGTTTTTACTCTAGGATAGTTCATTTGCCTTTTTAGGCTTCAAGATTTTCCTCTGTATTTAAGAGGATAATGACAAAGTCAATTTGGTCACGGTCTATTTAAATGCCAGTAGCGCAGAGCTGTTATTATCATGGCAGACATTTTTATGGAAGACTCCTAGGCCTATTTCTATTATTATTACTCTATATTTTAGACATATTCTGCAAGTTTAAGTTTGAAAAGTTCAAAACGTTTGTCTTATTTTTCTAAATAACATCTTGTGAAAGCAGAATGAACTCATCTCTCTAGCTTCTCAGCGTGTTAGACCTTGGTTTCAAGTGAACCACGCTGGATAATGCTCACCCTGTGTTTTGCAAAATTACGTTATAATTCCTTGGCCTGAGGAATATCAGGATGACTTGCTAAGCTGCATGAACTGTCAGCTGCATGGAAGTGAGCGTCCTTGGCTTTGCTTAAGAAACTGAAGCTTAGCTTAGGCTAGATGCTCTTGAGGAGGAGAAAGGCTGGAATGTTCAGGTGTTTGGATAGGCCTGTGCACAGAGCGACTGTGCGTTCAGATGGGCAGCTGGGTGTCTATGCACATCATGGAAGGGAATTCACAGAGGACTCAACCCTTTACTCCTAATTCTCAGGTAACGCTTTGCTTTGGGTTTTAAGTTTTTCCAGCTCTTCTGTCTGTGAAGATGACCCTGAAAACATGAAACAAGTGTAATAGATCTAATGTTATCATTCCTAAAAAAAAAAAAACCAACCAACCAAACAAAAAACCAAACCACTTTTCTAAAACAGTGGTTTTGAGACTTGAACTACCCCCCAATTCTTCTCACTGGGAAGCTTGCCTGAAACATGAAGATTATAGTTTAAAGGCAACATAGGCTATTCTGCTTCTTGTCCATTCTTGCTGAGATACTTAGTGAACGTATTTCTTTAATAGTCCAAGGCACTTTCTCCATGTCACCAAGCCTGAGCTTTCAATAACCCAACTGCCAAAACCTCCCATTTCTTCCCTGGCAATTTCTGGGATGGGGACATCATTAATGTATTTACTTGAGTATCAGAATTAGCACAGGGTTACCATAGGGATGGAATTAGTAATTTTTCTGATTAGACCATGAAAAGTTTTTCTTTTACCATGTAAGTGAAGCTCATCTGGAATTTGGAGACTGCTGAAAGAGATAGTTGCAGGTGGCTCCTGTCTGCCCAATTATGCATTTTCTTCATAATATATTTGTGCATGCAACTTAACGTGTCTGCATTGAAAATGAGGTTCCAAATGTTTCTGTTTCTTTATCCAAGGAATAAGCTGATGGATTTACTTGTTGTCATCCAGTTATCATTTTTATCAAGAACAGAGCAAAAAATTTGACTACCTTTATTTTACAGAAGCTGTTCTGTAGGGACCAGTGAGCACTGCAGAGATGCACTTTATGTAATAATACTTTGAAATAATATAGATAGACCAAACGCTCTCTTTAAAATAGCCTGTAAAGCTAGTGTCAATACTTGGAGAAGCAAAATGTGCTTTTGCTGATGTAGTTCATACTAACTAGGTCAGCCAATGAAATCAGCTGTCAAGGCAAGATCATTTTGATGTTGGAATAGCTGTGTCTGCAGCAGGGGTTTTTTTGCTGGTATAGAAAAATCATCTCTAACCCCCTGCCAGGGAAGAAACTGCCACTGGAGACTGAACCTTAAAAAAATGGCATCTATGTGAGCGGCTATGGATATGAAAGAAACGGGTGGAGTCTCGTGTTTCCTTTTTCTCTAGGCGCTGTATCTGATAGCTACGAACGGGACACCAGAGCTGCAGAACCCCGAGCGACTGTCCGCCGTGTTCCGCGACTTTCTGAACTGCTGCCTGGAGATGGATGTGGACAGGCGAGGGTCTGCCAAGGAACTTCTGCAGGTAAAATGCGGAGCGGCTGCAAGTGAAATAGCTGTACTACCTAAGGGTTTTCTCATCGGCTAAACTCGAAGGCATCAGATGGAACCCCCTCTTATTAGTCTCCAGTCTTGGTGCTTTTCAAATGAAAAATAAGTAGAATCATAGAATGCTTTGGGTTGGAAGGGACCTTTAGAGGCCATCCAGCCCAACCCCCTGTAGTGACAGGGACAGCTTCAACGAGAGCAGGTTGCTCAGAGCCCCGTCCAACCTGACCTGGAATGTTTCCAGGGATGGAGCAGCCACCGCCTCTCTGGGCAACCTGTGCCAGTGCTTCACCACCCTCATGGTAAAAAATTCCTTCCTTAGATCTAGCCTGAATCTCCCCTCTTCTACCCCTTGTCCTATCGCAACAGGCCCTGTTAAAAAGTCTATCTCCATCTTTTTTATAGGCCCTCTTTAAGTAGTGAAAGGCTGCAATAAGGTCTCCCCGCAGCCTTCTCTTCGCCAGAACAACCCCAACTCTCAGCCTGGCCTCGTAGGAGAGGTGCTCCAGCCCTCGGATTGTTTTTGTGGCCCTGTTTTGTATTCTGGTAGTATGTTCAGTTTTACATGGTGGCAAAATAACTGAAGTGGAATGTACCAGGTACGGAGGCCTGAAATGGTGTTGGTGACTACCATATACAGAGATATGACCAGGGAGGAACCCAGTGAAATCAGTCACAGCCAAGAGGTCAGAGATTTGGCTGTGGGAAGGAAGGGGCTGTGGGATGCTCACTGTGAGCATCAGAGGGGCCCTGGCTTGTCTGTCCTGCCCCGCTCTTAGAGGCTTCTGCCACCAAAACAGGGACGGCTGAGCAGGCCTTGTCACAGCTCCATTTGCTGCCTGGCACAGTCGAGTAGATGAGAACTGCTACAGGTTTACTGCCAGGTCTTGTGGCAGATCGGGAGCTGCAGCGCGTGCCGCTTGGCTGGCCCTGCTGTGAAGGGGCCGGCCGGCACGGGAGGGGAGGGCAGGGGATGGTTCCCTGCCCTGACGACGCTGCTCTCACTGCAGCCCGGAGCAGAGTCCATCAGCATCTGTCACTTGTCTCCCTGCTCTTGTCTTGGTGCTGAAAACCTGTACCTCACTGGCCTTCACAACAACACATGGGCCTAAATACTATGGGGATAAACATTTCCTAGAGGTATTGGAGTTCCCTGAGGAATGGCCCATGCCCCTCCTCTTTTTTGACAACTAAAATAGCCCATGTCTTCAGAAAACAGGAACCTAAGTAAGTATTTTGAGTTTTCCAAAAGGAACAAGGCCCTGGCACAGCAGGCAGCATTCCCAGAGCGCTGGCAGGGCAAAAATCCCAGCAAGCTGAAGCCACCTTGATAAACGGATTAATAGGATTATGGGCCATGTTTGCCTTGATAGCAGGGTACTGGCCATGAAGACACAGGTGCAGGTGGTCCCCTCAGTCCTATTTCTGCATATTCCTGGTAACCAGAGGAATACTGCTCGAGCCTGTGCGTAACCGAGTTTGGAAAGTAATGGTTTGTTTCTTTCTTTCCTTTGGGCAGCATCCATTTTTAAAATTAGCCAAGCCTCTCTCCAGCCTGACTCCTCTGATCATTGCAGCAAAGGAAGCGATTAAGAACAGCAGCCGCTAGCACTTCAGGCCGGCTTTCTCCCATGCCAGCTCAGAGCAGGACTGAGAACAAAAACTCTATAAAACCTCAACTCTTGTGCTGCAGGACAGATGGACGGATGAACAAATCAACGGTCACAGTCATGGTGGTAGGAGGGAGAACAACCCAGTCCCTCAAGGAGTAAAATATTATCATTTGTCTTCTTCCTGCTTTCTGGCTCCTTAATTTATTTTTAAGATGAAACAGGGCTTAAGACAGAGAGGTAATGACCGAAAATGCTTTGCTGCCTCAGCCATTTCCAAGGTAAAGCAAATTCAGTTGGAAGATTCCCTTCCTTCTCACCCTGTGAATAAGCTGTACATTCACTTTTAAATTGTCAGTTGTTTCTTAAAGACAGAAAGTCCCTTTTACGGGTTTTTTTGGTATGGTTTGGAATTGGAGAAGGTTCTCCTTCATTCATAAACTCCAGACTGCACTGCCTTTTGAATACGGCCCACTCGCTGGTATTTGCCCAGTTGCGGTACTTCTAGATGAGGAAGAAGGTGAAATTGCATTTCCAACCACAAAGGAATCAAGAGTGGGGCAGACAAAACATCCTGTTGAGATACAGGCTTTCAACTGTGAATATATAGTGTTTCAGTTCTTGAGAATTTGATTTGTATAACTAATTGTAATCTGTTTGCCTGGATGAGAGTCTTACTAAAACGAAAAAGCAGAAAGATCAGTCAGTGTGCTCAGAAAGGGCTCAGCGATGCAAAGCTGTGAGAGAAATGGGAGGCGAGAGCGGGCCCGGCCTTGCCTGGCGCTGAGCCCCCGCAGACCCTTGCAGAG